ATTGCGAGTGAGGCCCCCGGCGAGGTGTTGGTGTTCGTGTGTGGTCCCCCCGGCCTGGTGAGGAGCGCGCGGGATGTCGCTCTTCGCCTTGGCGCCCACTTTCACGAGGAGAGCTTCCTTTTGTAGGGCGTCTGTATCTGCTACCTCGTGGGGCGAAAAGACTGTGCATATATTTATTATTTGAAGATCGAACTTTCAGGGGGTGGGAAATGCTTTCGTTAGAATTTTGACGCGGGGGGAGAAACTGTGTGTAGCACCCCCTTTTTTTTCGTTCAACTCTTATAACTACTACTGAGTATCAACTAGGAACGCCCTTCTTTGTTTCTCAAGGATCCATATGTGCCGTCCTTCGCATGATTGGAGGTTTGCATGTGAAGCAGGTGCATTGAATAATTTTTTGTTGCCAGGGGTATAAGGGTGTGCGTGACTATTAGGCAACATCTGCTCGTTGGCCGAGATCGCAGTTGACAGCCCTTTTTTCTTTGCCTCTTTGGCATTAATTTTTCACGTTGATGAACCCGCTTGGCTTTAAAGACTTTTCATGCCGCTGCTGGTGGATCCCTCTCTGCCCCACTTGCCACCTTTGTTTCCCGCTTATTGCTGCAATAGGAGTGACACGGGCACACAGATACACACGCAGGCACCCTCTATCAATGGACCTTGACACTCCTTTACTCCCACTGCCGCGGTATCCGAGACATGGACAGCTGCTTGCATGGGGACTGACTTTTTCGGGTGCTCTCTGCGTTGGGATTGCTGCTATGGGGCTTATATGGTGGACCCGGGCTGACTACTTTCACCACCAAGGAGCGTATCCTGACAGATGGGTCGGCTACGATGTATTCACGTTCATTGGCTTGCTGCTGTTCACCATGTTTGGCTCTTCTGGCGTGACGCTGTTGTATGTGGGTGCAAGCGTGCTGATGCGCCTGTGGAGCGGCACATTGGGGCTGATTCTCTTTGGTGCACTGGGTACCGCCTTTGTTGTTGCCGGCAGCCTTGGCATGATGTGGGGACGCGAGACGATGCAGTGCGTGGGCGTGTTCTGCGTCAGCACCACCAAGTACGTCGAGGTGCCTGGAGAAAGGCCGGAGGGAGGGTTGGGTTTCCTCTCGGTCATTGGGATGACGGCGTTCTTCTCTTTGGTGCCGATGGGCCTCGTTGTCCTGGCCCAGGTGCTTTTGAGGGCGACCAAGCTGAATCGTCGCTGGCTCAGACCGTACCACCAGAAGCTCAGACTGAGGCGCATGATTGTCGCTCCTTTCGCTATGGCCGCGCTCGTTTTCATGGTGTGCTGGGCGATCATAACATTCTATATGCCGAACTCGTGGGATTCCTTTACACCAAGCCGTATTGCGCAGCATGCACAGGCACGCGTCACGCAGAACTATACGTTGTGCCATCATGAATGGAACAAGTATTCCTGCCCGGAGTTGCCGTGGTCGTGGGTGTTCACGCGCAACTGGGTTTGGAGCGACATGCTTGTGCTGAAAATGTACCCGAGCAACATCTTTTTCTTCTCATACCTCCTCATCCTGCTGCTGACCGTCACTGCCGTTCGTGCAAGCCGTGGTGGGCGCAGGTGCCTGAAGCGGCGGTGCCCCCTGCTGCGAGACTTCACTTACGGCGAGGCGGGCTTTGCACTTCTGACGGCGGCGATGCTGCTGCTGTTTTTTCTGTACTGGATCCAGGGACACAATTACAAGTCCATGTACGGCGACGACTCCAAAGGTCTTGTTGTGACTGAACGGTGGGCGCGGTCACTTGGCCAGCTCGCGGTTGCGTTTCTGTCGCTGTGCATTTTTCCCGCGAGCCGGAACTCTCTGCTGCACTCAATCCTTGGGACGGCGTGGGAGTCGTCGATCTGGGTGCACAAGGTGCTGGGGTACGGCATGCTGCTGGCAACGACTGGCCACATGGTGGCGTGGTACGTGCGGTACAGTGAGGTGGGGATGTTTCCACGGGGAATCTTCTCCATCCCCCCAGTGGAGCCCCCTGGACATGTTGACAATTTTACTGTTCCACTGATTACGCTGNGGACGGCGTGGGAGTCGTCGATCTGGGTGCACAAGGTGCTGGGGTACGGCATGCTGCTGGCAACGACTGGCCACATGGTGGCGTGGTACATTTTTTATGGTGAGCTTGGAACGTTTCCTAGGGATGTGTTTTCGGTTCCAATGACGTCTTCCATATCTGTTGACAATTTTACTGTTCCACTGATTACGCTGACGACGTGGTTCATGCTTCTGGCGATGGGTGTGTTTGCACTGGAGCCCGTGCGG